ATCCAATGCAGCTATCGCTCTGGGGTAATGCAGATCATGCCGGAACAGTCCAAGAGGGGCTGCGATCATGCGCAGCTTCCCCTCCATATATTGGAGCCCATTTCGGCAACAACCAGGGTGTATTTTGTCCTATGTGGGGAGAGTCGTACCTTGGGTTTCACATTGACCAGGGCCAAGATTCTTTTCATTGCATGCTCAAGTGGTCAAAAGTGTTGTCATCTAATTGTGGCCCTAATCTAAAGCCACATCTCAATGGCTGGAGGAACCAGCATCTGGGCGAGCCAGGAAGCCAGAACTGATCCCAGGCAAATCTTCAATGGAAGACTAGCCTATCTTTTAATCACCCTTGCCTGGGCTGGTTGGTTTTATGGCTTCGATACGGGAAATATCGGGGGAATCCTCACATTACCATCATTCGAACATGCATTTGGGCTCGATAAGCTGACCACGGCAGAGCTTGATAGCCGCAAGGTACCATACTCGCATACTCCCACAACGCAACGGAAAATGCTAAGAGGATTAGGGGACTATTGCAGCGATGCTCGCAGCCGGCGGATCAGCTGGCTCTCTCTGTGCAGCGCCAACCGCCGATTTCCTAGGCCGCAAGTGGTCTGTTTTCTTATGGGGGTTTGTGTTCGTTATCGGTGGTGTGATGCAAATGATTGCCAACTACAAAGTACTCATTGCCGGTCGCTTCATTGGCGGAATGGGAGTTGGGGCCAGTTCGATGCTGTCTCCACAGTTTCTGGCTGAGAACTCACCCAAATCGGTGAGAGGGTCGGCAACAGCCATGTACAACCTCATGATTCTAGCCGGATTGATGGTCGCCTTCTGGATTAATTACGGAGTCTCTTTGTGGTCGTTTCCAGGTGTTGAGCAAGACAACACCCAATGGAGAACGGCAATGGGGATTCAGTTGATTCCTGGGGTGTTGATGTGCTTGATGATTCCTTTCGTACCAGAAACACCTCGGTATCTGATTAACCACGGGAAGGAAGAGCAAGGACTGAAGAATCTCTGTCGGTTGAGGAAGCTTCCTGCTGAACATCCGTATATCCAGACAGAATATCAGGAAATTGTTGCCCAGGTCAGGTTCGAGCAAGAATGCCATCAAGGACACAGCTACTGGGTCGTTCTTCAAGACATCATTTTCATCAAGAGCAACGCAAGACGATTTTTTCTTGCCGTTATGTTATTCCTTTTCCACAAGTTTACCGGCACTGATTCCTTGAATGTGAGTCTAGAAGTGTCTATCACTCGCCATCACATTCCATACTGACAAAACTCACAATAGTACTACGCCCCAGAGATATTCGAACTTATCGGCGTAAACGGAACGTCGAACAGCCTCCTCACTACAGGCGTTTACGGAGTCGTCAAATTCGTCGTTACAATCTTCTACGTCACCTACCTAGTCGACCGAGTAGGTCGTCGTCGGCCACTTCTCGTCGGTGCCGTCCTCCAAGCAACCGCCATGCTCTACCTCGCCCTCTACCTCCGCTTCGCAGGTACAAACACTAGCACCGTCGGTGGAACACCAGCGGGAGGCATTGTTGGAATAGTGTGGATCTATATCTATGCCTTCGGATGGTCATTTGGGCATAGTGTGGCCTGCTACATCGTGGCGGCAGAGATATTTCCAACCAGAATCGTACGTATACCCTGCTGAGCCTCTGTCGTGTAACCGTGTAATTGATTCCCTAATAGAGATCCGTCTGTATGGGCTTCTGTTTCTTCGTCAACTGGATCGTCGACTACGGTATCACTCGAGCCACACCAGACATGATCACGAACATGGGATGGGGAGTGTTTCTTCTGTATGCTATGCTGACATACGCCGGAGTGGTGTTTATTTACTTTTGTCTGCCGGAATTGAAAGGAAGGTCAATTGAGAGTATTGATGACTTGTTCCAGAGACCATTGTGGACCATGTGGAGACACGCGTATCCCACGGAAGAGGAGAAAGTGCGGCAGGGAATTCCGCAGCTAGCTAAGGGGCAAGCCAACGATGATGGGGATAAGCAATCTATGAATCATGTTGAGAGTGTCTAGTTTATTCCATTGTCTATGGAAAATTTTCACATTATGTATTTGATTCAGGCTAGGGTGTGTTTATGTTATTATTTTGATACGGTTTTATTCTACTGTTAACCTGCTTACTATATTCTGATGCGGTCGATACACTATATAGTCGTATCACTATATAATCGTATCCGTTATCGCGCCGCCCATTACTACCCTCCAGCAACACGTATCTGATAAAACCAGCCCATCCATACCAGATCCGTGTAGGAGAAAACGGATAGTAACCTAGAGACACCCCCTCTTCTGTCTCACTTTCAGTCAGAAATTAGTGCCGGCGATCACAATGTGACAACTGTGTTCATTGGCTTCTATATATGCACCTACACTGTGCCAGGTCTCAACAAGCTTCCCTAAGGTTTGGTTGGACCTTGCGGATCGACTGGCCCACAAGCCGGCCTGGTCCGGGTGTTTGATCCTGCCGTCACTGGTTCTAGAGCTCTTTTCGTACTTTTTCTAACAAATAGTGCTTCGCTAGTTACCTGCAAGGCTGGGGGAGCATGAACAAAGAGAAAGGGGGTCGACCTAGAGTGAAAGACGTCTTGCTGTCGACCCCCGGGCACCCAGTCATTGGGAAAACCATCTTTAGTTGGGCACAGTACCCTGCTAAAGTGTTTGGCGAGGTGGTGTCCCGGAGGAGGGAGTTGTTGGTGGATTTCTCTAGTTCCAATCGATTCTTTGTCTACTTCTCCGGGGTGTCCCGAATCCCCACCGTGTTGGTGGTCTCATTGGTTGCTAACTGGAGCCCTAATTAGGATCGCTTGATGAGTAATGGACAAGGGTTTGCTGAGTTGGCGAAGACCATGAAAAAGAGATGAAAGACAATATCAGGAGAGAGAGTGAGGGACGGTGAGCAAGGTCAATAGATAGTAGAAAGCAGGAACAATCGTATTGCTACCGCCTAACATCCGTGAACTAAATACATACAATCCACATCACTGCGGAATCTTGAACCCTCCCGGCACCATCCTCTGAAAGACTCCGGTGGGATCAACTTCCCGGCTAATGCGCTGCAGCCGCGCGACGCTCTCAGGCCCATAACTAGCGATCGGATCTTGCCATTGCGCCGCATAGTTGAGATAAACAAATGGATGATATGCGTTCAACTCATGTGCGTCCGCCTCAATACCTGCAAACAGTGTCTTGGCGGCTTCCTCCACGCGGGCGTCATCGGCCGCATTATCCCAGGTAGCGCTCAGTAGAGTCACCACAAGCGCTTGTTCGGGGTCGGACGGCAGTCCCATCACATTATGGCCTGCAGGCGCCCGCGCGTAGATAGCAGGAGGTAGTGGCTCCAGAGAGATCGACCAGACGATACCCGGCACGTCCTGCACGGCTGCCAGACTCGTATCCCACCTCACGTAGGTCGCTTTCAGCATAGGCACGGTCGCATCGTGGGTCGTCACTACGCTTAGCTGTCTATTTTGGTTGTCATGGATTAGCTTTGACAGGTTGAATGGAGAACAGCACCGGAGAGCGAGAAGAAGGGTGGGAAGGGACGTAGGGACAGAGAACTTGAACAGTTCTTACCGTTTTCCATTCTGTGAAAAGGACCCCTGCTCTAGGGATATCTCATGTACCGGGGCTACACGCACAGTGCTGAATATCTGCGGAATATCGAAGAAGGCCCTGTACACAGCTGGTGGCGACGGTGGCTGCTGGCTATCTTCTCCGTTCTTCTCGTGTTTCTCCATCTCCCCGGTATACACAATGCTGTTCACCACAGCGGCCCCCTTGCCGCCGGCGAATCCAAAACTGGTGATTAACGAGGCATTCTCATCATAATGGCTCGCTGTCTTGGGATCAGCCAGCTCCGCAAATGCGCATAGCTGAGCATCGATGGTGTCTGTACTGCAATAGATAGACCCGCCATATATGGGGCCCTGGGGGAAGGCCCGCAGATAAAAGCCTGTTACTATTCCGAAGTTACTGTTCCCAGCCCCACGCAGCGCTGCCAGCCACTCCGGGTGTTGAGTTTCTTCATCCCAATGCGCAATCGTTCCATCGGCCAGGACTATCTCTACGCCGACTATGCTATCGCACGTCCACCCATAACGGGGCGAGAAATATGACATGCCGCCCCCGAGCGTCAGTCCGCCAACCCCGACCTGTGCGGCGCGGCCGCCCGCTACTGAAAGACCCAGCGGGTCGAGGTGGGTATAAACATCTCCCCACGTGGCACCTGCTCCAACGAAGACTGTCTTTTTATCACCGTTGTCTCCGGACGGAGGCAGGACCTTGATGGTGTTGAGAGCGCGCAGGTCGATGGTGATGCCGTGATGGATGTTGGACGCTCCCCCGAAGGAGTTGTGCCCACCGGACCGGATGGCAAATTGGCATTTGGCTTGCTCGTGTGCAGGCAGAGCCGACGAGGTCGTCACCAAGCTGGTGATTATCTTAGACACATCTTCGGCTGAGTCCGGGGACACCACGCAGGACGGATGCAGATCACTGTTCTGCTGGGCAAAATATGAATTTTGAGAGGCTTCATATGCAGTTGTGTTCGGGAACGAGATTTTGTCTGGCCCCAAAGTTGAGGCTAGATTGAGGCACTGCAGACATAGCAGAGTTAGAGTCGTGTATGTGCATGAGCTTTGGGGTTGCACGCACGCAGGCTTGCAGCGGGGATTTGCTAGCCGTGGGAGGAGCATGGCTGCCATTGAGGGGTGATTGTTCCATGGTGAAGCGAAGATACGAGGGACAAAGGCCGATAAATCAAAGGGGGAGAATTGGAAAGAAAGCGAAGAAGGGAAAGAGAGGACAATGGCTGCAAGAGGGCGCAGCGGCTTTTTATGAGTAACCCCAAGGCTTGGTTGCTGCTAAATTAGTGCTGTGCTTAGTGCTGTAAAGTGTACAGGGGTGGTAAACCTAGAGACTTAGTGGTATCCATCGCCGTTTCAACTCTGGTCAAGACTGGTATTTGCTTAAAGATGACTGCAGATCGTTTTCCTTTCGCTATGGTTCCTTTGCTTTCCATTTATGAAAACCACACATCGAAGAATTAAAATGCTGAATGATATATATAAGAGATAATATAGGATAAATAAAGCAAATAAGAAGGCGATCTGAATAGGATTCTGACTAGATGGCCTGAATAATATCAGTACTATTCAAAATTACAGATCCACGATACTTAACCCGCTGCCTGCATTGATGGGGACTGGAATTATATCCACTACTAAACAACCCTATCTTATATCCGGTCGCTTATTACCACCCTCCAGCCCCTTCATGATAAACTCAACTTCATCGTCTGCCACATCAAGTATATGGTGAGGCGGATATTGTGGCACCCACCCAATTTTCTGTCCATGCTCAGGCGTAAACATACACCTAGTCTCACAGTTAGCACTGCTTTCAAACACCCCCATCCAAGATAACATTACTTACCTCCCCCCAATAAGCACCGGCACCTCATCCGGTGCAACACCAAGCGCCTCGCCCATCTTCGCCAACACTTCATCATCGGCCTGCACAACAACCTCATCCTCAACCAACCCACGCTTCGCAAGCGCCTTAGCCATCGCACTGTAAATTTTATTCCACGCAACACTGCCCGAAGCAGCAAGGAAGAAACCATTCTTGCCGTGGCTGATTTCTTCTCCTGACAGTATCTTCCGGAGGATGTGCAGGTACAACTCTGCTGTATCGGAGATGTGGCACACAGGCCAGATCTGAATATTCATTATTAGGAGATATAAATGCGAATGGTGAATAGTACGGAGGATACATACAGGATCGTCCGTGTCAACCTTATACACTCGACGCAGCTTTAAAGCAGCACGAACAATATCAACATCTTGGATCGAAGTCCGGTTTCCGAACCCTTCCCCCTGGCCGTATACAAGACACGGAGCGAAGATGTAGCTCGACACGCCGTGTGCTTCGGCTGTGTCGATGATAGTGGCATTGGTGCTGGCGGACTATTGTTCCTTAGTAACATTGGCCCATTACAGCAACAAAGATGATGCATAGTCAACTCACCTCAGCAGCAAATTGATGCTTGGACTTCGCCTCCTTCTGGATATGGTAAAGTCTCGGATTCGTATCCAACAGTACCTGATCGACAGAGACACCCGCATGTCGACTAAACTGCTTTGAGCCAGTTGTGTGTAGTAAATGTACATCTTTCCCTGTTCTCTTCTTGACCTCTCCTAAACCTCTGATGAATGCCGGTTGATGCTTTGCGGAGTAGGCGTCGATGAGGTAGTAGACGATGGTAATTTTCTTATCGATGATGGTCTGGGTGACGGTTTCATGATCGCTGACATTGAGAATAAGGGGCTCTGCACCATATAGCTTTTGCGCTTGTTCTCCTTGATCCTCTGATCTTACCAATGCGTATAGTTTCTCGTATGGTGGGAGGTTGGCGTTCTTCCAGCGCGCTAGGACGGTGCCTCCTAGGTAGCCGGACGCTCCAGTGATGAGGATGTTGTGGCACATTGTGTTCTATGTTATGGGGATTGAGGTATATAGGAGGAGGAAATTCTTAACGTGCGCTCTTAAACTGTCTTAATTTTAATGCTGATAATGAATGGAGTTAAGTAGGTTATGTATGTCTGGATATGGGATTAGTAACAAAATACTTCCGTGTCGTCACTGACGCGCTAACCGTTTACGGACTGCTCCTGAAGTTCCTATTGGTCAAATCGATTTTCTCCTGCTCCACTCATAGTAGTATCGGAGTGCTTCGCAGAAGATCTCCATATCCTCCTGTGGGTTACGCCTTCAATAATTCTGTCGGAATCAAGGAGAGAGTTTTGGTGTCTCCACAGAGCATGGATTCTGGATTAGCAATCATTTCTATCTGGTGGGGTTGATGGTGCTCCTGAATATCTCTCTCCTCATTGCCCCGCCAATAGGAACGACGGGAGCGTTCAAGTCCATTTACTTCCATCACATTGAAACCGAAAGACCTAACAAAGTAACTTCAAGGCATATAAATGTACGAGCAACTTATCAGACTCTGTAAAACTTGTAACAAATTCTGTTTTAGCTCCTTGTATACTCCAACACCCACACCATGCAACATTACATCTCCCACTTCGACGGCATCGATGGCCTCAAGATAGAAGACGTGCCACTCCCATCACCTGGGCCAGGCGAGGTCCTCGTCCAGGCCCGGGCTATATCGCTGAACTACCGCGACATAGAAGGTAGGCGTCGTTTCCCCTCGCCATGTCATGCACCCAGCAACTAATCTTCTCACTCAAGTGATCAACGGCGAATACAACCACCACCGCGCAATCAAGCAAGTGCCAAATATAGTCCCCTGCTCAGACATGTGCGGCGTTGTCCAAAGCGTCGGCAAAAATGTCACCAAATGGAAAGTCGGCGATCGCGTGGTTTCCTTATTCGTCCCAGACCACAAGACAGGACAACTGACTGAGAGAGCGCTCGCTACCAGCTTGGGCCTCCCTCAGCATGGTGTGCTGGGAACGCATCGTGTTTTCGTGGAGGATGCGTTGGTCAAGGCACCCGAGCACATGAGTGATGAGGAGGCATGCACGCTGCCAATCGCGAGTGTTACGGCGTGGATGGCGATCAATGGCACGCGGCCGTTGGGCGAGAATGGGGGCCGGGGGGAGTATATCCTTCTTCAGGGGACCGGTGGTGTTAGTATTGCTGGGTTGCAGATTGCGAAGGCATCTGGTGCGAAGGGTATGTTATTTAGTCCCTAGATATATGATTGGGCTGACTCTCTGGTACAGTTATAATTACTTCATCATCTGATGAGAAACTAGCCAAGGCGAAGGACCTCGGAGCAGACTTTGGTATCAACTATCGTCAGGTACCGGAATGGGCTAAAAAAGTGATGGAAGTTACGGAAGGACATGGCGCGGATATAATTCTCGAGACGGGTGGGTCGCAGACATTAGGTCAGAGCTTCGCGTGTGCTGCGTACGGTGGCCTGATCAACTGCATTGGGTATACTTCTGGCAAGACTCAAGCTTCTGGAGAGCAAAAGAACGTTAATCTGCTCACTCTGAGTCGTAGCTTGACTTTGAAGGGATTTGTTAACGGACCGACGGATCGCTTCGAGGAGCTGATCAATTTTGGTGAGAAACATGACATACATCCTGTCATCTGCAAGGTCTTTTCTTTCAGCCAGGCGAGGGATGCTTTCAGATATCTGCAAAGTGGCTCGCACTTTGGAAAGATTGTTATTCGGGTTTAGCTGGTGCGGTTGTTTGACTGTCCAGCGATAAACAGCAGAGAAATGTGCCCAGGGATAAGTTCAGGATCAACCCGTTCAATGTACATATGATGGCGTGAGAAAAGCCTGTATCTAGAGTAACCTTATTGCTACTGTAAATCCTGGGATGCATGAACAGCAGAATCCCCGAGCAACGTTGAATGAGAAAAGTCCGTGAAGGCTTCGTTGACTCCATCGCAATAACTGGGCCAGATATCAGGATCAACAAGATCCGCCCAGGGCCAAAACAAATCATCACTTGTCTGGTTCTGTGGAAGAGACCAAAAGGACTGATCAATATTCGTATTGCCAGCATCCATGTCCATGTTTACCGAATCAGACTGTTGATTCAGCCGTCGTGTCATACCATCTTTTGTTGGCGGAGGCACATCGTTTGTACTTTCGGACACACCACGCCGGAGGTCAATATTCAACATCATAGTCAATTTGTCAACCTTCTCACATAGATGACGAGTGAGACATGCTGCACGAACTGCGGCGTCATTTTGATAGCCCGCAAACTCAAATGTCTCCAGGGCGAGGTCGACGTAGCCTCGTGCTTGTGGACAGCGCGGACAGAAAGGAAAAGCCAACATGAAACCCATCAGCGTCAGCACGGCATTCCACTGATATTGATAAAGTTCACATGATCCGTAGAATATATCATGCGCGGTCATACAAGAATACACTGTTTGGATCGTTGCCAAGGCGTGTTTCAGAGCAGTTGCAGCATGTGCGCCGGCAAGGGGATTTTCTCGGTTCATGGCGGGCTGACGAGGGAATTGGATAAAAACTCTATGCAGACTAATCATGGCATCGTGGTATTGGAGTTCAAGCAGGGCCTCCGTTTGAATTTGGAGTGGCGCTTTAATCATATAGTCATTGTACTCCTCGCCACCTCCATTCTCTCCCGGACCACAGAAATACTTTCGTGAGACGGGCACATCTTGGACATCCAGGTGAAGGTGCTTGAACCACGTGTTTTGGCGTAATTCGTCTTTCCATACACGTAAATGATGCAAATTATCTGTCAAAACGTTTGCCTGAAATTCGATGTCATGTGTCTTTCTTGTCTTTTCATGGTGTGCCATTGACTCAATGACAGCCAGGGCCGCACACGTGAGACGAATCGATTCATTATGATATGGGAACCGTACCGGACGGGGCGGATCGTTCGACATCCAACATGGCGGCGGAGATCTAGATATAGGAAGCTGTACACTAATAGGCTTTCCAAGGTGCCTTGAGCAGCGGAAGTCGAGATGGACTAAGGTCCACCAGATACGAGAGTGTAGCTCCGCCTGCTCCCGGGATGCTTGAGGGGGCGAATCACAGTCAAGGTCTAATGATCGAGCAATCCGAACAGCGAGCCCAATCATGTTATACGCTGCCTGGTGTTGTCCGGCGTCCAGTAAGTACAAGGTCATGATACAGTAGCACTGAAGGATTGGAAGGGAGGGCTTCGCAAACGTTGAATATTGCATCGCGCCTATTAGACAACGTTGGAAATAAGGCATGCCAATCTTCTTCGAACACCGATTGCTCCTATTGAATTGCTTCCATTGCAATCCAAGAAGCCGAGAATTAAGGCCAGAGTAGAATATGTACTGCATGGTGTAGGCGGTTACAGCATCCCGCAGAGGTTGTGAATGGGAGCCGGTCAGAGTATCCTCGTGGGATGGAGGGCGCTCTAAATCCTCTCGGCGAATAATTGGAACTTGTGGGAGTAACCGTGCCCAGAATATCTCTAGAACACGATTGACTTGACCGGAGGATAAATCGCACTCAACCGCAGCTGTGCCATCTGTATCATGGGGGGTAAAAGGTGATGAATAAGCAGGAGGGGGGCCCGCATGGGACCACCGAGAGGACAGTTGGGATATACCAGCACAGAAGGTGTTTATGCGATCGATGAAGCCAAGTGTTGAGTCCATGCGATAGTTGATCGGAGCTGTCTCTGTGTCGTCGGGACAAGATGCCATGCCTCCGCTGGATTTCTGTCTTCGCTTGTTGACACTGGCTCTCGGGGTGGCGGGAAGTGAGGATGGGGACGCATCCATAGCAGCATCTGCCCGACCAGATGGGCTGTCAGAGCGCCTTAGACGGCTACAGTGCACCTTGTTCATCACGCATTGATGGCAGGGGGCAACTGCATCGCACCGCACTCGATGCTCTCGACAGAAACGGCATGCCCGGCGCACTTTGCGGCGCCTAGGCACTGAACCTGTGGTCGGAAAGGTATGTATCATCTTCCCAGTTACTGCGGCTGAAGTAGCATGAAGGATGATCTTTTCTAAGCATTGTCGAATTGACGCCACAAGTGTTCAGTGGATGTTCTTTTCAGGCATCGGCGCAAGTCTGGATATGAAGATTAGTCACCAAGATTCCCCAGGCGTGACTTGTCAGGTGATCACCGCAGCGACGATGAGCTGCCTTATAAGCAAGATCAGGCCTTTGTCATGTATGAGAGTTTTTTTGATCTATCAACAATCGACCACTGAGTATCTTAACCTTTATGTTGCCTAAGTCGTAGTTCCACTCAGCCAAGGTACAAGTGCCGCCAAAAGCTTTTTTGATGAACTGGCTGGAACGCCAAGAATATGCGACGTCCTTGCTGATGCACCCAACCCCTCAACCAACTTCACATAACAACCCCAGCCATGTGGGAGTGCAACATTGCAGGTTGCAACAAGCCAGCTGTACGATCGGACGGTGACTGTTATTTGCGACCGTCATTTCTGTGCCACACATGTTGAACACGGATGTCCGAAGTGGCAGGTGAGGAGAGAAATATATCATTCTCTCAAGTCCTAACTTATCTAACGATCCACATCAAGGACGGGGAACTCTACGATCTAGCTGCCCAGGAAGCTGAGAGGGGCGAGATAACCAGGCTACTAGAATCTCTGAACTTATCTGCACTTCTCGAGAAAGCAAGCTATTTACGAAATGGTATTGCCTGCTCAGCCGCTTGTGTATGACAGATCGGCACGTTCATCGGTGATGGGCGGCATGAATTACCACATAGAAATTCTGTTTGCTGATGGAGTTCGGTGGCTGGCTCGTATTCGAAGATTTAACGCTACTTCACCACCGCCCGACCTACGTGACTATATCATGCGCAGCGAGGTTGCGACTCTCCAATTCCTTGGCAAAAGCAAAATACCTGTTCCGAAGGTGTTCGACTACGCGCTGGAAGGCCAGACTCCCGTCGGCGTTGGATATATACTCATGGAAAAACTCCCGGGAAAGTCATTACGCTGGTCCCTCGCGTCCCAGGAGCAAAGGAAGAAAGTTATGACCCAGCTAGCAGATGTATGTCTTGAGTTCGAACGTTTTGCGTTCAACAATATGGGATCTATGGATGAACCAGGAAGTGACCACATTGCTCCGTTTGCCCAGAAATCATTGACTGAATATGTCAACTCGCAGATGGCTCTCCTCGAGCCATACAAGGACCCGAGAATGTACCTCCAATCGAGCATTGAGCTCATAATGAGATTGATCCTGAGAAGGGAAAGCTATGCAGGACGCGAGATAGATGCATTCCTAGTTCACGAGTTTCTCCTTGATTGCATCCCAAGAATCATAGAACACCACACTTATGACGACGGATGATTCTATCTACGGCACGCTGATGACAAAGGTGACCATATTCTCGTTGATGGTGATTACAATATCACGGGAATCGTTGATTGGGAATGGGCTCATACGGACTCAAAAGCTGAAGCCTTTAAATCGCCCGTCATGCTTCTCCCAGTTTCTGACTTTTACGAAGGAGTCAATACCGTTGGCGAGGTTGAATCCACTTTTGCAGATATACTTGAGGCAAAAGGAAACAAGGGACTTGCAGGCATAGTCAGGAATGGGAGACTGCTTCATTGGTCCCAGTTCTGTTGTGGATATGACTTTGCAGACTGGGATGGGTTTCTAGGCCTTTTTCGAGGCCTTCGAAATGCCTTGAACGTAGATGCAGATATGAGTTGGGATGATTGGAAGACAAACGCTTTGGAACGATATTCGGGTGATGCGCGTCTGAAGACTCTACTCGGGCAGATGGGATAGGATTTTATCCTCATTATCAAGTGATATTTCTTTATGACAATGAGGAATGTGCAAAAGAGAGCCTGATTCGAATACCTAGAGCCAATATCCCTCGCTCACATGGTATACCGGAAATAAACATTGTTCATATCCGTAACATCCTGCGCCCCCAACTCTCTACCCCGCCGTTCCTGCGCCTCTTTAGAGATCCCCATGCTCTGTACAATGCGATCCCTGCGTCGGTTCTCCCACATATACCAGCCTCTCCAGACTAAAATAACAATCACCTCGAGAGCGAAACACACCGAGCACGCGATTGTTCCCGAGACATATCGGGGCGCATCTTTGGTCTTGAACACCTGCGCACCAGCCATGTTTCCAGCGCAATAGGCGATCAACGTCATGGCCGACACGACGGATCGTTTCGTTTTGCCTGCGACATTGGAGGGAACTAGCGGATGTGATTCATTAGTAACATATAGCTATGAATGGCAAGAGGTGAGTAGGTGAACATACTGAGACTCCAACCCAGGAAGATAGCCATAGAAAAGACAACTGTCATCATGAACATTCCCCATTTAACCCACTTGTATTGGGGCGTGTTAGGGAGTAGGGACATGACTAGGAGGGCGATGAAAGGAAGAATGCAGCAGGCAACCATGACCCACATGCGCTGGTTTTTGACTTTGCGAGTGTATAATCCAACGATGAGGAAGCTAACTACGTAGGCAGCTGGCGAGAGATATATAATTAGTTTAAGTTCAAAATGGGGTGAAACGGGCTATACCATATCTGGGACAACCGTAAAGCATGGATTCCCAGTCACTAAAGCCAAAGGTCTCGTACATGAGGGAGCTAAAGGTTGTAATGCCTCTGTGTTCAACCAAGAATTAACTGATAGACCGCGCCATGGGGGAGCTGCGTGTTGACTTGCCCGTTGGGAATATTGCCAAGGAAAGAATTGGCGAAGGAAAAGTAGAGTTGTGGATCTTTGAAGGCTTCGATAACTTGTGGCCAGGACCACTCTTTACCCGTCGTATCCTGACCAACTTGGTTGTCCAGCGTGCGGGCGGTCCTGTCATGGTAAGTATTCCGGTGGCGATGGAGATGGGCCAAAACCTACGACATGCGTTTCTCATCCTCACTTAGCCAGCGCACCTCGTGTGGGCAACCGAGCAAGAAGAAGGCGGCTACTGCACCGGCGAGGGTAAGCGAACCTAAGAAAAGTGAAATGCATCTCCAGGCCGCGATACCGCCGTGGGCTTCAACATGTCTAGCAATGGCGTATAAAATAAGATTACAGACAATACAGAAGAAGCCCTCTGATGACTGCCAAAAGAGGGAGCGGTTGGCATGTTCCTCGGTGCGGTACCAGACGCCTGTAATGTGGAGGAAGCCAGGAGATATATTGCTTTCGAAGAAGCCTTGGAGGGCACGGAGGGCCATCAACTGTGACCAATTTTGTACGGCGCTGATACAGATGAGGCATATTCCTGGACAATATAATTACGTTGGCCAAGTGCGGTCACGGATTGCCTGCATGACTCACCCCAGCATGTAATATAGATGGATAAGACCAAGCCAACATTGAATCTTTGTAACAGATAGACAGAGGGGAACTCCCCGATAAGGTATGTAAGATAGAAGCTGCAGACACGTTTAGTATGTTCTGTGTGTTAGGCATTCTTACATACATAGTGGTCAGCCATTGATATTGTTGGTCGTGTAGATTCAGGTCATCCTCCATTCCAAATATCTGGACCTGTCAGCAAGCGCATCCAATTGAAAAATAAAATACTTACCGCTTGAATACTAGTTGAGGTCTTGTCTACCTGCTGTATTCCGTAGAAGAAGAACCTGAACCGTTAGACAAGCCTTTCTCAGGCAGGGCTAAGCACATACATCATTGGCAAGAGATAGTAGTCGATCTTCCGGGTCAATTTCTTATATTGTTGCTCAGTATTGTCTGTATAATGTCAACAGCGTCCAGCTGTAGCGAAGGAAGTAGCGTACCAGACACTAAAATGTCCCCTACCTCCACATTGGTAGCCTTGATGACGGGGTCGTCATTCTTGTCAGTCGATTTTCGGTCCATGTCTAATACGTCCATGTTCAGAGCATGTATGTCTCTGTCGTGTGAGAATCATCAAAGTGTACAAAATCTTCAGAATCGCCCCTATATCTAGGTGCGGACTTCATAAGACGCAACCCCTCAAGTGCTGATATCAGATAAACAGCAATTGCTATCTGATAAGGAAATCAATCTGCCCCAACGTATCCCTTAGCTATCCAATAACAGTCACTCAATACCCTAGTTCAGAATGAGACGGTTGTACACTTTGGTATGCATTTCTCAAGGCCGAGATGGCCTTCCCTATTACATTCCTACTATAAACTATCTTTAAGCTTTCCCCTTTCATACCTCAGCGATAATGACCTTGATTGCCAGAGATAATCGGTGAAGCCCGAGCGAGCAAGCTTCCCCACCGCGATAAGCCGAAAGTGGAGTAGAGATCGGCCAACTGTCCGCTCTCATCTACCCCTACTGTCGTATATACAACACGGCCCCAAAGCATGACCCTTCAACCCCGCACAAGACAACGTGCGTTCTCGGTCAATCATCCGCACACTGACAAACAAACATGCCCGCCCCCGTCCCCAATTCCACCACCCCCTTCTGGCGCACCCATCCCCATCCTCTCGACCGCCACCGCAGTACCCCGGACCTCCCTACTGAATGCGACATCCTCATAATTGGAGCCGGCTTCGCAGGAGCAGCCCTAGCACATTTCCTCTACAAGGATAACCCCTCGCCACCCTCTGTGGTAATCCTTGAAGCACGAGAAGCATGCTCTGGAGCTACGGGTCGCAATGGTAAACTCATACCCTGCCCCTGCTACATCCCATCGCTCACTGACCACTCAACCAGGCGGACACCTCAAACCAGACGTCTACCTTAACCTCCCCAAGCATATCAAGAAGTACGGTGTAAAGGCCGCAGTAGAGGTAGCAAAATTCGAAGCCTCTCAAGTACACGCCGTAAAGGAGCTAGTCGAGACTGAGAACATCGACTGCGATTTCGTCCTCACCCGCGCGTGCGATGCAACCCTGGATGAAAAGCTAGCAAAAGAGATCGAGACCGCGTATGCAGAGCTGGTCAAGTCAGGTGTTGCTGATCTTAGAGATGTACAATTTACACCGCGCAAGGATGCTGAGCGAGTGCGTTTATACCCCCTCACTCACTCACCTTTCGCCCTACACTCAATACTGATTAGTTACTTTATACAGGTATCCGGCGTCAAAGGCGCCCTCAACTGCTTCACCTTCACAGCAGGCCACATCTGGCCCTATAAGATGGTAATGCATCTCCTCCAAGGTGTCGTTAACCGAGGCGCAAATTTCCAAACCATGACTCCTGTTATTTCTATCGATGAGAACCCTCTACCCGATGGTCGCTGGGTAGTACACACAGAAAGGGGGAATATAAAAGCGAAGAAAATCCTTCTTGCGACGAACGCATACACATCTCATTTGGCCCCGCAATTCAAAAACCACATTGTCCCGGTGCGCGGGATATGCAGCCGTATCGTCGTACCAGAAGGGAAGGTAGCGCCGTTCCTACCCCAAACATATAGTATCCGGTATGGGCCGTCCATGTACGATTATCTCATTCCGAGACCAGACGGGAGTATCATTGTTGGTGGGGCCAAGACAAAGTTCTGGACGGATAAGAAGCACTGGTATGATGTTGTAGATGATGGAAAGTTGATTGAGCCTGCCAAGACGTACTTTGATGGGTTAATGCAGAGACACTTTGTTGGCTGGGAGGGGAGTGAGGCGTACACGGATCGTGTGTGGACGGGGAGTATGTATATCCTCTTTAACCTTGTTTACCTCTGTGGAATGACTTTGCTGACTGCGTCTAGTTATGGGGTATAGTTCTGACTTCATGCCATATGTGGGTGAGGTGCCTGGGAAGCCGAATCAAACTGTTCTGGCGGGATTCTCGGGACATGGTATGCCGTTGATTCTGCTTTGCGCGAAAGCGGTTGCGCGCATGGTGAGGGAGGGTGTTGCGTTTGAGGATACAGATGTACCATTGGTGTTTCGGGTCACGAAGGAGAGATTGGAGAGTACGAAGAATGAGATTTTGGAGGGTTCGGAGAAGGAGCATTTCTCGAGCAGGTTGTGAGTAGGGTATGGGGCAAATCAAGATGTGATCTAGGGTATAACTGCGAAGACTATGCGTTCGTGAGATATAAGAGCAAAGGATGAGTGATTTCTTCGTCCATATCACTTATATATAAAAGGTTAGGCTGATTAATTTCTTTCCTCGGTCTCCATCGCAGCAGTAGCTGTAATAATCCCCTCCGCCATCGTGGGCAAACTATCCGCCTCAACGTCCATCTCGCCAAAAATATCCGAACATTTCTCCATCTCCCATGAAGACACCCATGCCCCTTTGAACCTACAGCATCCAAGTCAGTTGATCTCCTCATTGAACCCCCGAAAAGGAGCACTCACCCGCACCGCTTCGCCGCAGCCGCATCCCACATATGCGCCGCCGCAAACCAAGCCACCGACCCCTCCCCCTCAAACTTCTCCAACAAATATCGATATGACTCCGGTGCCGGCTTACCTACTCCGATAGTATCACACGACACAAAGTTCTCCTCTGGGAACTTCACTCCACCTTCAGCAAGATACCCAGCCACCCGGGACGTATCGCCTGAGGTCAGAGCCCAAACCGTGAACCCGGCATTTCTAAGCTTCTCAAAGCACTCTGCTAGCCCCGGACGGATCTTCAAGCCGCGATACGATGCAAGTAGATATTCGCGGTCTTCATCGGTGGCGAATTCACGTGGGTTTGGGATCCCAGCTTGCCAGAGTGTCCTGTAGAAGATGGAACGGAATACATCGAAGAATTTGACGTAGTGGGCTGAGAGACTTAGATAGGTGTATTCCTTTTCACCGGCTTCCATCCACGCATAGCCGAATAGACGGGGATTGATGTTATAAGTTCGCAGCTTGGGGCCGAGACGGGAGTCGATTGCTGAGAAGAAGGCGTCGTAGGAGACGCATGTTCCTGGGATGAATGTTAAAATCATCGAGGAATAAAGTGATAATTTTGTTGGGATTTTATTTACCTACTACATCAAAGACGACGTGTTTGTTTGTGGTTGCCATGTTATTGTAGGATATAGGGAATAGTTTCTTGTTGTGTCAATGCATATTTCCAAATAATTTCTCTTAATGATCTCAGATGAGTCTTCACACGCATTGGAGCTCCGGCAGATGAAGTCCTTTCGGTGAACCGCCGCAAGAGCGAGGAAATAGACGGGCTAAGCCGATCCTCTGGCTGTGTCTAGGGACTACCCCCACTTCAGACTATCTTATCACCGAGGAACCCTATCTCTTGAGCGGGGTCATCCAGACTCCGGATGATAGCCGATAAACAAACACCGCTGCAGGGGTGTATGAGGCACCACGTAAGCTCGGCGTTTAACGATTGCCTTCATGCTGCCTGCGCGTTGCTGCGACAGTCTATGCCCCTCGTTGCCATGACCCCTCATTCAACAACATGCGCTCAGGAGCCTCCAACATCAAACGATGAAGCTTCCCGTTGTCGAGCTCGATCCATGGGAAGGTAGACTTCGTTATGTCTCACTTCACGATTCATACGTCGTCATTGTTCGACCCGAAGCTCAAGTTATTCCGTCCCAATGTGTCTGTTACGGTTGATCCTGTCAGTGGACTCATCGTGCGTGTCTTCGAACGCGAGTCGACCACACTATTCCCGGAACTTTTACCGCCCGGCGATATAGACCTACGGGGAAAGTACGTGTTGCCCGGACTGGTAGACGCACACACTCATATCTTCCTTCATTCATATGAGTAGGTTCATTCCACGCATTATTACTCAATCGCAAGTGGTTTTGACCAAGTAAGTGAGGCAGGAGCACTTCAGCAGAAGCGCGATGAAAGCATAGGCGAGCGCATGGTCCGAGCAGTCAATCACTGTCGCACGGCATTGCTAGCCGGGTACACAACCTACCGGTATGCATGTAACCTTCATCCCACTAAATATGAAGAGGACAAATTAACTCACCCCTTTCAGAGACCTGGGCTCCGAAGGAATGCAAGACTTCGATGCCAACATCCGCGATGCCATCGCTCGAGGCCTTACTCCCGGCCCCCGGTTATTCGTAGCCACCAAAGTTCTCGCCAGCACCGGATCATTTGAATGCCGGACAGAAAACAGCGCCGGGGGCCACTGCCTCCCCTCCAGTGCTGACGCCGTAGACGGTGTTGAAGCATGTCGCCAGGCCGTTCGTCGCCGCATAGCTGCCGGCGCAGACATCATCAAGTTCTTCGCCGACTACCGCAGGAGAATCATGCGATATCCCCCTGCGCAACAACACCCGTATATTGCCGGGGTCTTGCATCCCCCAAAAGAACCGAATCCAGATTATATGGTGTTCTCAAAAGAGGAAATGCAGACGATTGTTGCAGAGGCAAAGTTGGCCCGCTGTCCGGTTTCTGCGCACTGTGCGACGCTCGAGGGTGCCATGGCTGCGATCGAGGCGGGTGTATCCACCATTGAGCATGCGTATTTCACTACGGACGAGTTGTTTGAGCACATGGTGGAGAAGGGCGTGATTCTGGTACCTACGCTGGCTATAGCGGAGAGGTTGCACTCGAAGCGGTTCGATCAGATCCTGAGTGGGGTCAAGCGGGCGCATAAAATGGGCGTAAGGCTGGCTTGTGGTGGGGATACAGGGACGTACCCTCATGGTGAGAATGTTCGAGAGCTGGAGCTCATGATCCAGGCGGGTGTCCCGGTGGGTGATGTCCTAGAGGCTTGTACGATTGGTGGGTGGGAGGCTTGCGGAGGTGATTTGTGCGGGAGACGGTTTGGATGGTTTGAGGAGGGAGCGCAGGCGGATATCATTGCTTTGTGTGGAAACCCAGTGGAAGATCCAGGGGCTTTGAGGGAGGTCGACTTTGTGATGAAAGACGCCCGAGTGTGGAAGATGGATGGTATGCCGAAGGGGATTTTCTAGCCTTCCTTGTCAAACTATATACTACTAGCTACTTGGTTATGGACAAGCGTTC